CCATGATGAAATGACACAGCAGTCAGCACTGATGAGAGAGATCTTGGCGCCCCTACCTCCACCTCTAGCTGATGGTACTGCAGGTTCTAGCTTCTCATCGCAGCCCCCGTATTGATCAGGGGAGTCTCGTTTGCCTCATTTGTACTCATTTTCTTTAAATTCTGCCATCTAAACTTTAATTTTCACATTGAGGACAATGTCTTGTATAAGTTTGGAGGATGGTGGCATAATTTGAAAAAGACATTCGGCATGTAATTAATTGCATTTCCACAATCCAGATTTAATTTGACTAATTGTTGCATGATGCATGCTTGTGAGTGAATATTGATTATGCTTATGTATGCTTGTGTGAGCTTAATCGCCTTGCCGACTATGATGTTACTATTGGATTGGTATATTTCAAAACTTTGGAGTCGGTGTTAATTAGGCCAACTAATACTTGCTGATGTAATACTTGACATTCTTTATGCACGCCATTCATGCTTTACATGTTAGGTAAGTGATTGGGGTTTTGAGCATAAAGTAAGAAAATAATTATAACCCTCTATTGAATTAACCCGTAAACTACCTTAAGACAGTTTGGTGATAGTTGAGCTATTATAGGAGAACATTGAGATAAGTGAGGCTCCGTGCATGAATTATTGTGTGGATTGCCTACACCAGTGGGATGAAGAGTAGGTGAAAATCTTAAATTGAGGGTTGGTGTTGGATACTAGATGTCTAGAAAAATAAGGGCATAAACTTAATTTGTGAGAATAAGACATTTCTTTTCATGCCTTTATGACTCGAGCAAGTAAACCTGTAAGGATATCTCAAAATCTGGTGCCCTAAGGTCAACTGATCTGGGAGTCACGGGCCCAAAACTCGATACATGGGTCATATAGAAAGCAAGAGGTAAAGAGGTTAATAAAAAGTCATCTGATCAAACCTTTATAACTCGGGTGAATAAGCTTGCAAGGGTTTAAAACCTGGTGCCCTAAAGCCAACTGGTTTGGGAGTCACTGGCCTAAAGCTCGTTACATGGGTTATATAAAAAGCAAATAAGAAGATAATAAAAAAAATAAAAAAAATAAAAAACTTGAAAAAAAAATAAAATAAAATAAAATAATCAGAAAACCAGAGAAAAGTGAGAAAAACAAAAAGAGACAATAACAAGAAGAAAAACCCTTGGACATTTGGTGGAAGAAACTATACCTTTGCGGCGAGGCAAGTAACCTAGTTTAATCTTGAGTGTCGAAGCAATCAAAACTAGGAGAGCCTTCACTTGTTGACATGTGAACTTGTGATAGTGAGATTAATCCAAACTACGAGAGGGTGAGAACTATAGTTAGGTAAACTCATAATTTTTAAAACACAACCTAGGGATAATTGAGTGAAAAGAATAAGTTTGGGGGGTTGTGTATCTCTCGAGCGAGTAAGGAGACATTTGACCACTTGGGACCGGGACTTAAACTCATCATGAACTTGATATGTTAGCAAGAATCCACACACACATGTCAAGTATGCACTTAACAAGTAAAGGTTGATGTCATTTTGCACTGATAAATTTTCATAAAATCAATTACTTAGTCCAATCTTGAGTCAAGGCAAGGTGTTAAGCCATGTTTGTTCAGAATTATATCACTATCTTGTTTGAGGACAAACAATAGTTCAAGTTTGGGGGGTTTGATAAGTATGTTTTTACACACTTATTTACATCACAAACATGACTTAAATACAAGTAAAATGATTGAATTGTGACTTAATTTTGTTGAATTCATGCAATGTAGGTGATTCTATGGAAATAGTGGAATTCAGGAGAAAATAGCCGAAAAAGGACCAAATTGGAGCAAAATGAAAATTCAGAGACCAAATTGCAATTATCTGAAAGTTGATCCGATGAACACATCAAGCAACTGATCAGGCTAAGCAACAATTGGAAGTTATAATGGAACATTGGAGCAACTAGAAACAAGAGAGGAGGTCAAGGAGATGATTAAAATGACTCAATTTGGAAGTTCACTCTACTATGCGGTCGCATAGTAGAAAAGCTATGCAGTCGCGAGTAACCCTCTAGGGATTAAAAACGCCAAAATCCATATACCTTTGCGGTCGCATAGGTTATGCCTATGCGGTCACATAGGTGTAATCTGTGCCCGATTTTTGCAGTTTCCTTAAATAGCAAATAAGCGTCCAGAAGCTGGGAGGAACGAATTGGGAGGCAAAAACATTCATTTTGGAGAGGATTTCAAGGCAAGAACAAGGATTGACGCGAAGATTTACAAGATTTCTTGAGGATTTCTTTAAGTTTTGATAACCCGGTGATGTATTTTATTCAAAATTTGATAGATTTCGTTATTTTTATCATGATAGGCTAGATTTCTGTAACTAGTGATCGATGAACCATGTAATTATTATTAAACCTGTTATTTTATGACTTTGAATTCATAGTTAGATGGGATTATTTGAATGAATTATATTGATTTATTTGTTTCCACAATTAATGTGCACTTAATTTGTGTGAATTTGGTAGTTTAATTCTGAATTTGAGAAAATTGGATTAAACTCGACATATATAATTCATCACAGGGTCCGATAGGGGATAGAAATATACCCCTATACCCTATGTAAATCTTTAATTGCTCACAAAAAAAAATACATGCGTTCTTATATAATTGCATCCGTCATAGAAATATAGGCTAGTGATTTATGAGAATATGTTCAATATATCTTGAGAGAGAATATTGAATAGATTTAGGAGCATTGATTTGTCAAATTCTCATTGGATTATCAAAATTGTGAAATTAGGGTTTACTTAATAATTATTTGGGGATTCGTGATCCTAGTGCATTCGTTTTACATAGATTTTCATAAATTGACAATACATTTCATTTATTTTCATAACGTTTCGTAATTAAGTCATTCGTTAAGTGAATTTGAGTAATTAGGGTTTAATTTAAAATTAGGGTTCTTCAATTTGGGGATTTCTTCCAAAATTAGGGCTTTTAATTCTAAAATTCATCTTAAGTCAATTAGTTTCGGTTAAGGTTAAAATAAATAAAATTGAACTACTCTTTCTCTGTGGGACGATACTCGGATTTCTAAAGTCCACTTTATTACTTGTCACGACCTGTACACTTGCGGTAATTTAAATCGAAAGAAATATTTCGTGAACAATAATGAAAATAGCAAAACTTGGATAAATTTTTCGCTCGATAAATAATGCGAGTTTACTATGAAATAGGAATAGATGATTAGAAGATGAGTTTCAAATAGGAGATACAAAGTATTTCAAACTCTCCATCTTTCTCAAATAATAATCAAATATTCTTAAACGCAATAAGTTCACCTCTTTTCCCATCCATGCCCCCTCTGGGATTCCGTAATTCCAGAGAACCGAAGAACCTCTAATGATTAGGTAAGCAGCCGTGCTTACTGCATCTGCCCAAATACTGCTTTGGTAAACTAGAATTAATCCTCATACTTCTAGCACATTATAGGATTGTTTTGTTAATGCGTTCTGCAATGCCATTCTATCGGTACTTGTCGAATTCCATTTTCTGTATAATATTTCTTCATTCGACCATCTATGTACTTTCCTCTATTGTTTGACTTGAGACATTTCAATTTTGAACTCGTCTCATTCTCAACTAGGACTTTTCATTTCTTGACGACATCAAATAAATCAAATTTGTTCTTCATAAAGTAACCCCATAGCTTCTTAGTAGCATCAACGATAAAAGTAACACAGTAGCGAAAGCCACCAAGAGATGCTACCTGAGATGGTTCCATACATCTATGTGCACCAACTCCAATTGTTCTGACTTGCATGTTCTTTGAGCTTTTGTGAAATTAACCTTTTTCTGCTTTCCGAAGATGCAATCTTCACAGAAATCCAAATCTAGAGACTTTAAACCTGGCAGTTTTCCCTTTGACATCAGAACTTTCATCTCTTTCTCGCTCATATGTCTAAGTCTACGATGCAACGTGCTAGTCTAGACTTCTGATGATGTAATGGCAATGGATCCATGAGTACTAGAAGTAACATATAGAGTATCTTCCTTTTTGCATCTTCTTTCTTTTTTGATTACCTTCCTCGCGTATGTATAAGACCGAATCCATTCGATTTCTATTTTGTTATAATAGAAATTGAGAAGGATTTTTTGATTGAAAAAATCAATACTGATTAGTTCTGTCTCAATTTGTATTTTATAATGTCAGTGTAGCGTTGCTGGGTTGGTAGCCGCAGCGTTCATATTTGCCATGGAGGTCTCCTCCCGAGTACCTGGGGAACCAAGGACAACTGCAATAACAAAGTCCCGGCTCATCACCTCCGCGTTCTCGAACTATAGCAGCCTTTTCCACCGTAGTGAGATATCCCCTAGTAGTTTCATACCTCGGCACGAGATATTCATCCAATCGGACCTACCAGGGAAAGGGACCCGCACAACCCGGCTGTGTGTCTTGAGCTACCACCATAGCTCCTTTGGTCATCTTCCAAGTGTTACCAACAAATGTGGTTGTAATATCGTAGTCAGTAATTTGACCTACTAAAATTAGATTCTATTGTAAACATAGCATATCTCTTACATCCTTGATTCTTAGAACGGTTCCCCTAGGTTGATTTATCTGAACATCACCTTTGCCAACTATGTTGAAAATCTCATAATTTCCAAGATATACCTTGTCGAGGTTGCTTGGCACATAGTTATGGAGTAGCTCCTTGAGCGAAGTAGCATGAAACAACGCATCGGAATCAATTACCCATGTTTCTTCATGAGCATCCACAGCTAGCAACAATGCATTAATTTTCAACATCCGAAACATTAACAAAGTTTTTATCTCCTTGGTTGTTTTCTTGCTTCTTTGGTGCTCCATAATCTTGCTTTGTGTAACCAGATTTTCCACAGTTCAAGCACTTACCTTTGAACTTTGGTCGAGATAGTGATCGACCATTTCTTAACTTGTGTTTCGCCTATGGTTACTGCCTCTATTTGTCTTTTTACCTCTATCATCACATGCTAACGCCAAGCCCAAGGTTTCTCCACTATCTTTTTTTTGTGAATATCTTCTCTAAGAACCAAATCTACAGCATGATTTGGTTTCAACTCTATTGACCTCGTAAAATTGCTTATTGCAACAACCAAAGGATTTCAGCTCTTTGGAAGACTTGATAATAGTGCCAATGCTTTGCATCGTCAAATAAGATATCAACCGATTCCAATTGACTCATAAGTGTGTTGCGGAAACTCTCTCCAAGGATCTTCAATTCCATGTTTTTCGGGTTCAGCCCAATGTATATTTCTCTACCAACAACCAATCCAACCGGCTCCAAACCACAATCAATATAATTTACTTCGATTGCTATTCAATCTTACTCACGTAGAACAAGAAAAAATGATGATTTGTGGCCACAAAGATAGGAGAAGATACCACAAAGGTATATTATGAAGGAATCACCAATTACACAAAGTAAACAAGGGTTTTGGACACTTTTAGAGGCTATTTTTCACACACCAAAGGGGGCAGGCGGGATTCCTCTATTTTTCTCACAAAACCACATATATCATATAAGAAAGTGGCTAGGGTTAGGCTTTAAGTTGGACCTTTAAGGGGCTTAAACGAGCCAATATTCAAGTCATCCAAGAGTGAATACAATTGGACCGGGTATAGTTCGTGGACTTAGTTGTTGGACTTATTTCATTCATCGGCCTATGCCTATGAAATTATTAACCCACGTTAACATCATAGCCCAGAATTTCTTGGGTATCAAAAAACCCAACAAATCTCCACCTTGATATCCAATAAATTTGTAAGCAATCAAAACACACAGTTAGCACTTGCATAATCAAGGTAACCAATAAAATTGGATCACAGATCTTACCTCGTGTTTCTAACCTAAAACACATATCATACATGCTCTATGTACTCATCAGGGCTAAGGTCATGAAAACCTAAATAGAAGCAAATTATTGAATAGTAAACAATCAAAAGTAAATACACATGCGATGATATATTATAGGATATCATACATAGATCTTTTTAGAAACACGTTCATATATAACCACAGATTAATACCAAGTTAATCAAACACACGATCAACTATATATGTAACAAATGTATAAATGACCCTACGTAAAAATCTCACCACATTTATCCTATCCTATTTCGTGTTGCTCACACCTTGAGAACACATATCTCCTATTATCGCCCATAATGCTTATTAGACTGATCACCCAACTCATGTCCAACTGGTGGGTCATAATAGATCTTAAGTTCACGGGATAATCTTCTATCTCCACATCACTTCTCCAAAACTATGTGGATAATAGGTCTCTACCTAACAGAAGTAATAGAATTACCTCTCCCACACTCCACTTGATCAGGATTCCTTTATTGATAAAGGATTCTAGACATTTAATCACATCTCCACTCGTTATCCAAATGTCACATTACACATCCCCGATACAAACCACAATATACCCCTAGGCATCTATACTCCACCTCACTAAAAGATATCCAACACACTGCTAATGCATCCTAACCCACTATGCATGCAAACAATTACACCAAGTAATCATATTGCCCAAAATTCATGAAAAGCACATATCAAACATATTGAAATACAGCATACCGTCATGCAACAAATTAGGTAATCACATACATGCAAAAAGAATCACACATAAATACATAAGTAGTAACTAGGTTTACTCTCAATAAACGTCACTAGGATCATCACTCGACCCTAAAGCCAAATTTGCCTCACCTCTCATCTTACCGTTCAGCTTATCCTTCTTCTTGGGACAATCTCTAATGAAGTGTCCCAACTTACCACAACTACAACACATTTTGCCACTAGACTTGTCTCGTCCCTTACACTTCTTCTTACTACCCTCATCACTTGAGTCACTACTCGAATCACTACTTTAAGCAAATACAGTTTATTAGAAGTAGACTTAAATAAATATAAGTTCTCCAACTTTTTCCAAAGTTCTTTTGTTGAATCAAGTTTTTGAAATTTTCTCAAAACATTGTGCAAAATAATTGAAGTTTGAGCAAGTTCATCATATTATTCCTTTTGTGCGTCTATCAAATTTGCAGGAAATTTGCTATATATAGCTTTTGTAACTCTTTGTTTAACTAAAATCTCTTCCATCTTTTGTTGCCAAATTGAAAAATCCCACTTTGCATTCAAAATTCTAACTTTGAAATGAGAAGATATTTTTGTAAGGTAGAACAACTAAAGTGCACAAATAAGCCACAGAAAACAATCCTAAGATCGCAGTATACACTATTCTAGAATCCAAGGGTTTCGTTAGACTCTAAAACTCAATATCAAAAGAATGTTCAAACGGCTCAAGTCAATGTGTTCTAATAGAATAATCAATGGAACACTGAGGTGTATCAAAAAAAATTCAAATTCTCATACAATGCAGTCTAACAAAGTGACTAAACGACAATTGAAGCACAAAGGTAATTACCAACTTGCATAAATTCAACACTTCTAATATGGCAAATAATTCATAAATTTCTAGCACAAGCAATGATTATCCCACATGGTAACCCCAATCCTATTGCCATCCCACACGATGATGTGCTAAATAATGAAATTTAAATTAGGGTAAGCTAATATACTAGAGCGGACCGATCTGAGTACAAAAATAATGATAGATGTAAATTTACCACTTTACGACCACCACTATTCGCCCTAAAGTCTCCAACAACTGCAGCAACCAATTAAACAAAAAATGAACTCGAACGCGTAAGGGGGTAAAACCATTTAGAGTTATAATTTTGCCCAAAATAGAAATCGAACACCACTACAGGGTCCAGCACACCTCTATGAACAAGCTGTTTTCAGACACCATTGTCGTAATCCTTTCCTCGCTCCTGCACGTGCCTCTATCAAAACTCCACATGTCACTATCGTCGACGAACGTCACTTCCATACCAAATATGTAAGGGTACCTCGACCTGTGCGGTCTGTCAATGATCTTCATTAGTCCAATTGGCCATTGGGTTGGCTGAAAATCGCAATTACATGAGCGATTCTCAATTCTCGGGCATTTGTTATGGATAGATTTGTAATGTGTTTTCTACTTCGTTTCAACTGATTTTCTAGTCAGTTTTTGGTGAGCTTTTCTAGCCAAATCTGCCACCTTGAAACTATGATACTAATTATCGTGAAAGTTTGCTCCAAGAATTTTCTAAACTATATTTTTAGGCTCAATTTCACATTACCTTTCTCTATTAAACAATTAATCCAAATGGCTCCAACCTGCAATCAATATATTTATCTCGATTGCTTCTCAATCTCACCTACAAAGGTCAAGATTATGGTGATGGTTTGTAAGCCACAAAGACACGAGAAAAACAATGGAAGAAACATGAGATGGAGGCTAAAACAAAAGTGAAAGTCGTCGAATTTTTGTCGCACGAAAGTAGTTGATTTTTTGACAGTAAGAGTAGCCACATTTTCATACTCGTTTCTCATAAAATCACTCACTAACGACTAGAGTAGAAACAACATATATATAGGGTTAGTTTAGGCTTTAGTTAGACCAATAATAAGGTTAAATAGGTCAAGATTCAATGCCATCCAACAAATAATATATATGAGCAGTGAGTAACATTAATTTCTTAAACTATTTCCAATGGTCCATGTTGTTTTTGGGTTGAGCCTTTGGACTTGATTGTTGATAATCAATTCACATTGGCAAATGCCTGTGAAATTATATTTTGATGTTTACATTATAGCCCGAGATGCATTGAGTATCAAAACCCAACACTTCCATTATGATTCAAAGTCGGGGAACAAGCAATCAAGAACAAATTTTGTATTATTATTAAATAGTTTTTTAAAATTAAATATTATATTCATAAAAATACATAAGTATTTTTTTCATACAATGTTATGTAGTGTTTCTTTTTCTTACTTTTTTCAGAAATAATATTTTCACGTATCATGTTGAGTCATGTTTTGTTTTTTGTTTACATTTCCGTGCACCCAACGGCACCAACCTCTAGCACAACTGCTAAGTGAAAGAAAGAAATGGGCAACTTCATGATTTCAAAATAGAATGCAATGAAGATAGGGGATAAATGATGTCTTATCTCATGGCTTTCCAATGGAAGAAAAACAACATTGCCATATGAAAAGCATTTAAAAAGTTCTTGTCTTTTTTATGCTCATTTTAAGAAATCCCCGATTGGATAAGATAGAGTAGGGCACCTCTGCCAGTATCTTATATAAGATTGATGAGAGAGGTGGCGCTACCAAATGAGGAGAGTAGAGTTGTGAGGGCAAATTTCGCAAAATTTGAATTTTGAAAATTGAAAATTATATGGAATTTTTTTTTAAAAAAATATTATGTTAAATCTTGGAAATTTTAGTGCAAAATATTGGATTTTAAATTCAGTGTGGGGGTAGCAAACCCCCTGCCCACACTGTAGATCCACCCATTCTGCCACAATACAGCCACAAAGATAGGGACGGAAAGATGGAATCACCACGATCAGCAAAAAAGATGGCTTCCCTTATTGTTTAGTACATTTTAGTTGTTTGTATTTTACATCTTATTTTAATTGGTATTGTCTTGCATCATAGTAGCGTTTCATGTCTCGAAGATTTTCTTACTACTCAAGTACTCCTAAGACATAAGTTGTTTCTTTGTTGTTGGATATATTGTATAAAAATAAAAGAGTTTCTACATATTTAAATCCAAATCGATGTTCATGCATGAATCTACAGATTGTAATATTGTGTTATTCAATTCTCTCGATTTTGCCTACATCACTAATGCACTCACGATCATCTAATAAGGGGGATTGAACTTTTTACTTCTCGTTTCTTTTTGTACTTTGGAGTAGGCCTTGAGTAGGGATGGCAAAAATACTCATCAAACCTGATACCCGCGAAAGGGATTACCTGCTTAATCGGATAAACAGGTCGGGTACGGGTAGCGGGGGCCTTGCCTCGCGATGTTATTTTTTTTTTTTTTTTTTTTTAAGAATTTAATACTTTAAATAGAAAAGCTCTATGAAATTTCATTAATTCTAATAGAAAATAACAACTAAAATTATTTAATGAATATGATAAATAATAAAAACCTTAGTTTACCAAATATATTTGAATAATTTAACTTTTAAAAATAAATAAATTAATTAAAAAAATCAATAACTATATTATTGCCTCACTTGAATGAATGAGAGTAATAAAATGAATATCAAAAACTAAAAATAAAATAAAATAATAAACGGTACGTAAACTAGACAATCTCCTCCCCCCATCCGCCCTGCCCTGTCTTAAACGGGTAACGACGCGTCCCGTTGCCATCCCTAGCCTTGAGGGCGTAGGAATAAAGTGTAAATATTCTTATGGAAAACATTCTTTATCAAATTTTGCTAGAAAATATGTCACTTGACATTACTTTCCCTAATAATATTGAGTCGAAAAATGACCAAGTGAATATGCATACAAGAAATGCTAAGAGAGAAGCTTAGCTTTGCTTAAGATTGTTTCAAGTAATTTAACAAATTGAGATTTTATATAAGATTTTGCAATAAGTGTCCAGCAAGTGTTGCCCAATTTCTCATCTAGGCCCTGGTTTTACTATGTGACATGGCTTCTTATAATGTCCTCATATGCATAGCAACTGATGTCTATCTTACATTATGCCCTGTTTGACAATCACTATTTGGGGGAAAAGACAATGTTCTGAATAATTATTTTTAGAAGAATATGTGGTTAAAAAGATGAAAAAAATTTTGAATTTAGGTATAAAATATTTTATTGTGTGAATTTATGCTTCTTAAATTATTTGCTACAGTAACATTCTCCACCAGACATTCGCACAATAAAATATTCTATACATAAACCAATAAAGATTCTTTAATATTTTAACCACACATTCTCGAGAAACTTTAATTTCTCCCATAATGGGAGACAAGCAGGCTCTAAGATAAAATAAAGGATAATTAGCACAAAACGTCCCTGTCTTTCATGATTTTTGTGGAAAACGTCCCTACCTTTCATTTTTTGGCACATTTCATCCCTACCTTTACATCTTCTTGTGGAAAACATCTTTTTCATCATTTTTCTCAATAAAAGGTATAAAATGACCAATATACCCTTCTATTTAAATTTAAAAAATAAAAAAAAATAAAGAATTAATTGCAATCATAGTCCCAATTTTAAAAAAAAAGTTCAAAAGAGTCCCAAACAAAAAAAAATAAAAAGTACATAATCCTCGAAAATTAAGGAAAGAACATACAGATAAAACTAAAGAAATAGAATCTCGAAAACTATGCTTTTATATATACAAACAGTTCCCCAAACTGTTACCCTCGGATTTCCAACCATAATCCTCGAAAATTAATCTCCTCGTGTTGATTTCAGTCCAATATCTCTCACAAAAGGATGTGATAACAATTGGGTTGCAATCCATCGTTTACAGGAATTCTTCTGAGAACAACATTGAATGAAATTCTTGAAATTTTTCAATGCACTTTCCAACAAGCTCGATGGTTCGCCAAAGCATATGGCACACATAAGTGTAGCCCAGTTAGGTCTTTGTCCCTCCGACAAGTATGGAAAATGGCCCATGAACAATTCCAGTAGAGTCAATCCTAAGTTTCGTATATCATCGGCGTACCCCTTGTAATTGCCGCCGTATGTATCCAGGTCGAATCTTTCCGGGCTCATATAAGCGCATGTTCCAACATAGGAATTGCAAGGATCCAATGTCCGGTGCATGATTTTACTAACTCCAAAATCAGAAATTTTCACTTCAATTTTATTGTTTACTAATATATTTGACGGCTTCAAATCTCTGTGAATGATCTTGTGGGAGTGCAAATATTCATTTATTTTTGTTTGGGACTCTTTTAAGCCTTTTTTTGAAAATTGGGACTATGATTGCAATTAGTTCTTTATTATTTTTTTTAAAATTTAAATAGAAGGGTATATTGGTCAATTTATACCTTTTATTGAGAAAAATGATGAAAATGATGTTTTGCACAAGAAAAGGTAAAGGTAGGGATAAAATGCCCCAAAAAACAAAAAGTAGGGACGTTTTCCAAAAAAATCATGAAAGGTAGGGACGTTTTGTGCTAATTACCCTAAAATAAACTACGTACTGATAGATAGATAACTACTAGTCATGCCCTTACAGAAAACTCCACCTCCACAAATGAAATTGTGTTGTGGCTCAGAAAAAATATTTTTAATTTCGTCATTGGCTGTGGCACCACCATTACCTTACAGAAATTACTACAGTAAAAAATAATATATTTCCCGAATTCACCCCCACCACCACACTGGCAACTCACCTTATCATCCTTCTACAATTTGTTGGATATAAGTCCTTGTGAACATAAGGTTGCTATATAAGATTTTGTAGTAAGAAGTTGGGCAACGCTTATTGGACTCGAATTGCTCATTTGAATTTTCTGGACTCTGATATCATATTGAGTGTTAATATTCCATCTTTAAGTATCAAATCTTAACGAGAGGTGTAACTCAAATATTTGTATGTTCTTCGTCTTACTTTATATTTAAATGGCATGGGATTTCACGCTCAATTAAAAGACATACTCAAAACTAAAAAGTATTCTTGAAATGTCTAATGTTTTGCATGTTTAATAACACATTCCTAAACTTTTATCGACTTTTCAAACCATCAAATTTCAATTTTGATCGCATATTTCATTGCATCCACAATTTTTTTTTTCAACTTATCAATCAGACATTTTATGAACTGTTCTCAAAATATGCTAATTTTTATTTTTCTGAAAAACTTTGTCAAACAACTCGTTAATTACTTCTAGGTTTGCCTACTGGAATTCAAGCAGTTAGATTGGCTAAAAAATCTAAGTCTAATTTTCCAAGATTGATTGGTTAATTGACTTAAATAATTCAAGATTTCACACTACATTTATGAATTGAAAGTTGAGGATGGGTTATGATTAGGACGGGAATGCTTACAGACGAAACAGGGGAGTTATTTCTCTTTCCAACCACACCTATAAATTGATTTACTGAGTTCATTTCACGCATCCTTAAATTTTATTTTAGAGTTAGTTCATTCTCATATATATATATATATGCTGGAATTCAAATTTTACTTCTTGTTCGAGTTCTCAATTCAGTCAAACAATCAACTTTCTGCCTTATGTCGAAAGATCAGTAAAATATGAATCATTCTTCAAAACTGGCCAGTTTACTTCAATGTTTATTGTGGGGGGAAAATTGTAATGCTACACAAAAATATAAAATTCATTTACCGTGACGAAAAAAAAAACCAATTTGGTAGTAGAATATATAAATAAGGTACATGAATATATTCTTCTGGCCCTTGTTGAAAATTATAATGTAAGATCATTGACACTCTTGACATCATATATTGAAATAAATTCAAATCGTATGCAGTTATATTCAAGTCATGAGCATTCAAATTTTAGGCATCATCGCTTACACAAATTTATACAAAGGAGTAAATAAGTTACTCGCGAGGCCAAACAATTTCTAGACTATCAACTTATGAGAGAATATTTAATAATAGAAGTAATCATATAGTATGTAGATATCGCGTTATACACACGGGGAATATCACTACCACAAACCATACCAATAAAGATCAAGTAAAGAGAATAAATCTGCTTACAAGATATTACATTTGAATAAGAACATGAGTAACAAAAAAATGTCTTGTTATAATGGATATGCATATTCCTCGAAGTTACCTAGGATATAACTCACTCATTGAGGCCTCATTCGTTGATAAATGAGTGGTATTCTCTGATTGATCTGTGGATGAATGAGTCTTATGAAGAGCTAAAATTTCCGGACGAAAGCTACCTGACATGAAAAATGCAGGTCGTGAAGGTACTGCCAGAGTTAAGGAAAAGCTAGAGAGCATGAGAACCACCGATCCCATTGTAGGTCTATCCGTTGCATTTTCTTGAACACATAACAAACCGATGTGAATACATCTCATAATATCACGCATGGATCCTGAAGAAGTCCTCAATGCAGGATCTATTATATTTGCAACCGTTTCTTGGTGCCAATTTTTCCAAACCTATGAGAATTGAAATGTTTAAATACAATAAATATAATCATTGGTGGCTTCAAATTGATTCAGACCAAACCTTATCATATTTGTACTTACACAACTTATGAGGTCATCCCCACTCTCCCCATTTCGAAAATTATAAGTTTTCTGACCACTTATGATTTCCAAAATTAGGACACCAAAGCTGTAGACATCCGATTTAACAGAGAAGTGTCCATGTAACACATACTCAGGTGCCATGTATCCACCGTGATGGTCAATTTGTAAGGATATCATTAGCAGCGAGTTTAATAAAATAATCATCTAGCTATTTTTAGTTATTAACATGACCATATATGTTTTGTTTGTGCATCACTTCATATTTTCTTTTCGTAACAACCACTATGTAAAAATAAACTAAGTGATACTCTGAGACAAGAACTTTGTAAATTGCTTACTATGTTCCTACTATTCTGCTAGTGCTGTGTTGAGTTTCGCTCGGGAGAAATAATCTTGCCATATCAAAATCTGAAATTTTGGGGTTTATCTTTCCATCTAACAAAACATTGCTAGCTTTGAGATCTCGGTGAATGATTCGGAGGCGAGAATCTTCATGTAGATAAAGAAGTCCCTTGGCAACCCCGCCGATGATTATATAACGCTTTTCCCAATCTAAACATGGATTGTTTGAATCTACAACAACGATAATTACACTTAAATATAATTAGCCATACAGAGCAACTAGATTGCTTTAAGAATTTTGAGATATGATTTACTTTAAAAAAATAATAATAATGAAATTTTACCAAATATGAAGCGGTCCAAACTCCCATTCTGAACCCATTCGTATATAAGAAGTCTTTCATTTCCTTCAACAGAGAAACCTAAGAGCCTAACTAGATTCCTGTGTTGAAGTCTCGCTACTAGCAAGACCTCATTCTTAAATTCCAAGTTACCTTGCCCTGAGTCGTGGGACAACCTTTTTACTGCGATATCTTTTCCGTTTGGGAGTTTACCCTGCGATTAAATCACAAGAGAATATTACATGAACTTCCTGGTAATATTAATTTGTATGACACGTGATAGATCACTTAAATACTTAACCTTGTAAACCACACCAAATCCACCTTGCCCCAACTTGTTAACATCAGAGAAATTGTCTGTTGCAACTCTAATCGTACCAAAGTCATATTGTAGGGATTCCACAGTACTGATTTCCTCGTCAACTTGACCAAAGTATAAAGTAACATTAGAAATTTGTAATTAAAAGATATCACAGATAGATGTGGATCTACGTAAAATTTGAAACATAAACTTACGATCAACTTTTTCCCTTGGTTTACGCATTTTTTTCGTTTTTAAGTAGATGCCAATGCAAAGAGCAAGTATTAGACACACGGCAATTGGAACGATGACAATAATGATAGTTCGGGTTGTATTTTTCCCATTTCATATATATTTTGGGGATAATTGTAGCTGAGGCCCGAAACCTTTTAAAAAGTTGCAAACTTTCCGTTAACTTTTTATTTGTTGTAACCGTCATCCCAGACTTTTCAAAATGTTACAGATGAAGCCCCAATGAATGGATTCCATCCATGTTTCTATTAGTTGACCGAAAAAATGGACTTTGACCACATATTAATCAATTATAAAAGGACAAAATGATAATTTTATATTTTGCACATTAAAAAATTTAAATAAAAACTACAACAAAAAAATAAGAAAACAAAATAAAAAGGAAAAAAAGTTCTTCTCCCTCACCTTTACCCTTACCCCAACCCCTAGACCTAGTAATCAGATTGATGAGCTTGAGACTGTGAATCCAAGAAGAACCCACATCTCACTCCTTTCTCACTCTTCTCAAGACCATTGCCAATCACCTATTTCTTCATCACTGCAGTGGCGGATCCAGCTGATGGCGAGCTAGGGCAGCCGCCCTAGTTGGATCCGCCGGGAGTTTTTTTGTTTTGTTGACAGTAGTAGATAAACATTTTATATATATTTGATAATTCATATTTATTCTAATCAACTCTAGCAGCTGAATTGGTTGGAGCCTCTACTTTCAAAACAAAAGGTGTAGGGTTCGAATATTTTGCTAACCAAATTTATTGCACAATTTTTATACTTCTTCAATTTTCTCTAAAACTAATGTAAGAGAGTGGGGATTTGAACCTGTGACAGGTCATGAAAGTTATTGATAGTTAAACCACCATGACACTCAATGACTTTTGATACAAAACATTACAGAATAATATATATTTTGTTTTAGTTGGTTTAATGCAATTGAAAGGATTCGAACCTATGTTATTTGCTTTGAATTATAGGAAACCCTATCAATATAACAAAAATATATATGTTCAATTGTTTTTGAAATAATTATTATATTTAATTTTTAATATTTTATTACGGTCAACATCCGCCCGTGCTCACTCAAAATTCTAGATTTGCCACTGCATCACTGCCCAATTATCAGCCTCATCAACCCATGAACGCACGAATTCATCGAGGGTTGTGGTTTCTCCAGCATCCACATATTGTTCTTGAAAGGATTAGGGGGCTTCCTACAAGCAAGGGGTTTGAAACTCTAATTCTTCATCATCCTAAGGTGTACATTGGTGCACTTCTTTCTGGGATTTTGATGGCTGTTTAAACTATAAAAATTGCTGCCAGGACTCTCAGATTCAATTCTAGGGCAAGTTTCTTGAATAGAAAATGACATTGATGCAGGCTAAAAATCTGAAGAATAAACGTAGTTGTTGATGCCCATCTCTTTGTGGGTTTTCGCCTCATCGTTGACACAATCTTCCTCCGGTTCGTATTTACCCTCGGCCTCGATTGGACAAGTCAACGATGTCGTTTGGGAGGAGTTTCTACTTAATTGGGTATGGGTGGGGAAGGGACGGGAAAAAGAGGAGGGTTTTCTTTTTTAATTTTTTTAAACTTATTTTAACGCAGTAAATGAAAAGTTACTATTTTACCCTTTTAAAAATATTAAAAATATAGTTAAACCGAACCAAAAATTTCGGGTATTTAGTAAATAGAACCGTCGGGTCCAAATATAATTATGGAACCGTTCGGGTTTGATTCCGTTCGGATCGATTCGATTCTGTTCGGTTTTGTACTATAATTAAATTTTTTAACATTTATAACTACATAAATACAACTAATAACACACTCAATCGTAATTTTATAAATTAACGTAATCCAATTTAACATGTATATAACAAGTTTTCCAACAAGATTAATTTACCAATCACATATAAGGAAGCTTACACACTATCTTATTCAAATGATCAACGGTCGAAGATCCCCATCGGAGCTCGGAGGTCATAGCTTCGGACTCAGAGTTGGAGGTTCTATACATCTATTTGAGTTTTGGAATGTCAGATGTGTTATTTGTAGGTGATAATGTGTGTAATTTATTTAGGGTTAGTCATTAGTGGGTTGGATCACTTGGATGTTGGGCTAAAAAATGGAAGAATAAAAACTAAAAATGGCACTTGGGCTAAAAATTAAAAAATTAGAAATTAAACAAATAATAGGGCCAAAAATTGGATTTAGAAATTGGTTGGGTTAGGTCAAGCTAGCTAGGCTAGGGCTTAGGAGATAAAGTATCAATTAATCACCTAATTTGTTAATTTGTTTAGAAAAAATTAAAATAATTTGATTTATTCAATATAAAAAAAAATTAGGAATATTTGGTTCTTGGTCTAGAACTGAGAATCGAACCGTACCCGTCGATTCTTGATTCAGATACCCATTCGGGTATTTAACTTGAGAAGANTATATATATATATATATATATATATATATATATATATGTATGTATGTATGTATGTATGTATGTATGTATGTATGTATGTATGTATGTATGTATTATTTTATTTTATTTTATTTACATTTTCAATATTTCGATTTATGTCATTATTAGGGAATAAAATATAAATTCAAAATGAATTTTTAACGGGTAAACTATCCAAAATTATTTTTAATCTTTTTTTCTCCTTCACGGGGCAAGTTTGGGGCGGAGCATTCTCGCCCTACCTTGCCCTGCCCCACCAACCCGTTCAAGGCGAGCTTTTTTACCCCATTCGGCTCAGGACGCATCAGGGCGTGTTTCATAAGTTCTTTCCAAACAATTGCTTGTTTCATTTGCCAAACTAATAAATTAAGACATAATTGACTTTATTCTTAAAAATCAGTGATTAAGCGACTCAAGCTTTAAAATTGAGTAAGTTGGTCCTCAATCTTTTATCCTAATCAATCTAAAACGACAGAAACCATCCTCTACTAATGGTGGGGGCCAACTTATTATTTGGATAATACCGTGGTGACAAATGGTCTTATCATCGGAAAATATCTCTGGCCAAAAAAAAAAAAAGACAAAGTCCTTACCCGGCGGCTGCGGTGACGGTGGCGGTGGCATTGGTGGTGTTGGTGGCTGGGGTACTGCTTCAACCATCGATGCGTTGTAGAATGGATCCGTATCAGTTTCGAAACGAAGATAGCAACTAGGAGTAAGGACTCTAACTCCTTTTGCACCCTCACAGCATTCTCGAATCCGTTGGGCAGATTTATTCAAGCAGTCACCACATTCCTCCGGGGTTATATCAGGTGTGCACTGTTCAAATGCAGAAATTGACGGATGATTCGTATCATTCACAGTCCAAGTGGAAGCAGCAAACTTCTTTGGCAAGCTGTTAAAAGCGGCATGTTCTTGAAGGCTGTTCAACAGGACGTTCAACTGCCAGTAAAAGACTTCTGTATTTGTGACATTTTCCCTACTATGACTTGGCCTCATTGGGGAAATTGCAAGAGTTCCAAAGATAGCCTCGTTGGAGTATCGTACCATACAAAATTCGTGCCATAAGATTGCCCGTTTTTTATATGGACACCTCAGTAAGATTTCGGCTGTAGCATTTTCCACATAATCTCGACACTGAGAAGGCTGAAGATCAGCTCTACAGAGCGCAATGATGTTGACTGTATCAGGATTTTCTCCCGTAGAGGCGTTGTAGAATCCGTTGGCGTCGATATTTGGCGGAACAGAGGAGAGAGAAGTATCAAGGTTTCTTTCGTACGTGCTATTTCTTGTGTACAAACCAGTGGCATCATTGTCCGGACAATCAAAATAAAAATAAATTTGAGTTGGGAACTGGGATTTGACAATAGCAACAAGGTGTATCAGACAGATTAAGAAAATAAAATTATGAAGCCATTTCCTCCCAGAACTCGTTGCTATATGCATGAATATAGTGTTTGCAATATACATATGGAGAGAATACTTGGTGCTATATTTCAGTACAAGTATATATATATACCATTCTAATAATTTAAACCTTATTTGATATGGAAAATCGTCGCATCAGTCCCCACCATGTCATTTCAAAAAATCATTTTTCCCTGACCTACAAATTTTGGCCCTGTCCGTCTCGAATATTGTCACAAGACATTTCAAAGTGACCTTTCTTCTTTGAACAAGAACCACAATCTGATTAATGAGCCAATTTCATTTAATGAAATTGAAAGGAAAAAAAAAGTTGTATTAAATGAGAAAAAAATCGATTAAAATGTTGTCAACTTTATTATTCAATCAATTTCGATACTTCATGGCAAACATTCAATTCATTTTTATAGTTTACCAATTTGCAAAGGACTTTAGATATGCACGACCAACCTAATTGAGGTAGAAAATGAGAAAGAATGATGAATTGACAAAATTACGAACTTATTAATTTTGAACAAGTCAAGAAATGAACGAAGAAGTGGAAGAAAATTCAATAGTTTTAGAACTCTGCCTGCACGGAAAATCTGTGTAGGTAGTTTGATATATGAATGCGTACAAATTAACGCCATTCTATCTGTATTTATTATATATACAAATAAAATAATTCATAATTTTATCCAATTCAATAAAATCAAAAACCATTAAAAGGAATACTTGATTCTGCCTGCCACTTCCAAAAGCTTTCATATTGGTCCTTGAACCTTCATAATCATTCGAATTTCGTCCGTCTCAAGTTTCAAAAATGTGAAAATCAATACACAAACTTTCCAAAAGTTGAATTTCGCTCTCGAAACTTGAGATTTTTCTTCCGGTTGCTCCTCTAATACTTCTTACCAGCTCCTTTCAATCAAGTTAGTCTTTAATTGCTTCGAACTAACTTTAAATTAGCTCCAAAATTATTCTTGTTCTTGTTCTTGTTCTTCTGCTGCTGCTCTGAAAGCCTTCAAGTTCAAGTTTTACCAACTATAACCATTTTTACACTAAATTAGATAGAAAATTCACTCAATTCGAAATTATTTATCAAGTTAATATCACGGATGAATGAGCAAAAATACACTTATCACTTTCTAATTTAATTTTCCTTGTATGTTTGATAAACCTTGATGCTATTTTCAAATCCCAATTCCTAACTCAAATTTCTATTCATTTTAAATGTCAAAATAATAGCATGTACAAGACTAACCATGGTACTCTCTTGCGTGCACGCTAAACAGTTCAGGGACCAACTAAGTTATTTAGATACTGAGCTGAATGAAATTTACTAGCACGTACAATTTCATTTACCTAGTCATCATTTATGTTGGTTTGAATAGCATAGACTGGTGGAGGGACTAATGGTCTACATTTTGTAAGTTGATGAACTAAAAATGTACATTTTAAAGACAACCAGGATTTTTACTTAAAACTACAAAGAAAATAAGAGGGTGTGTACATGTGGTTTCGTAGTGCTTAACTGCATCTAAATTAAGTAGGTTTTTAACGGTTCAACCTTTTGTGGGATATTAATTGAATAGTCTGATGTAGGAAATTCGCACACGTTTTATAATTCACAACATGTAACGAGGGTGGTATTGGTTAGGGTTTGGAGTGGGGTAAGCTTTTCATTTATCTTACAATTTGAAACACCTACGTTCTTCTTCTCTTTTACCTGTTTTGAACATTGGTCTCTCTCGAAGTATAGAATAATCATATCAATTTCAGTCCTATATATTCTTTAATTACTTAAAACCAAGGTTTGCATACTAACCAATTTAATTTATTGCAGATTCCTCTTTCTGCTTTGTAAAGACCGTCCCCCCTAATTAAATTACATTCCATTACATTCTATTTTTTTCTCTTATATTTTCAACCACACCATCTTCCATAAAATATATATATATATATATATATATATATCCACCAATTTTCATTTCTAGAAAAGGAGGGCCAAACGGGCAGTTTACAAATTACCAGCCGTTTGTATTTGAAGAAAAGTTTTATAAATGTTGCTTGTCCATTTGTAATTTAAAAAAAAATAATCATTTTTTGACAAGCTTGATTATAATAATCACTCTATTCTTAGCACGTGTTTGTCTATCATTAAAGTAGGAAAATGAGTTTGGGGCAGTGGATTTTTGGAGAATATGGTTAAAAAGTTAAAAAAAATTGAATTTGCGTGTAAAATATTTTATTGTAAGAACGTGCAGTTGAAAATGAGTTTAATAAAAAAAGTTTAAAGCCCTTGTTTGATGAAGATTAAAATCAAATTTTTAATTGATTTGCATAAAATTTAATGAAATGTGTGATTAAAAAGTTGTAGATATGATTAAATATATGGTTCAAATTAAAAAAATTGGCCCAGTCTCAACAATTGACAAACAACTTTTTCTTTGTCGTGATTAGAAAATTTTGAAATTTGTTGTCGTTGTTGTTCCATAGGTACTTCTACAAACTATCATGACTCTAAGGATCCGTTTAATTACAAAAATGAAATTTGGTTGAAAAGAAAATAAATTTCAGAGAATTGAATTGTTTATAAAATGTTTTACTGGGAATTGTCAAATTATTGTGTTTGACAGGTAAAAATTTTCACTTTAAAATTGTTGAAATAAATGTATTTTTTGTGTTCATTTGGCTTTGTTTTACATGAAAATTATCAATTAAAGGGATAGAATTTACTGGTATTAGAGATAGAATTTGTTTCCATTGCCAAGAAAAGGTCAAGAAAATCATCTATCTTTTGGTATTCATCTGACTTTGTTTTACATGAAAATTGTCAATTAAAGGAAAATATTTTTTTACAATTAGGGATAAAATTTGTTTTCATTGCCAAAAAAAAATGGAAAAAATGGAAAAAAAAAAAAAAGAAAAGAAAAGAAAAGAAGAATAAGCAGCAACCAAGAAAACCAATTCCCAACAACCCACAGGAATACAAATTCCTCATTTTCGTGGAAAACAGGGTCACGTGCTAGAAAACAAGAAAATATTGCCTATCAAACATGGCAAAAAGTGGATAATGACAATTTCAATTCCAACTTCCATGAAAAATATGGCGTATCAAACGGAGCCTAATTCTATTCCAAAATGGTCAATGATGGGAAATGTAACACCCTTTTAATATGGGCTAATTTTAATGTTAGTCATTCAAAGGTTGATAAAAATATACCAATATTATATTCATTTTGTAGCTAGTATCAAATAACACAATTTAGGCTCAAGAAAAATAATTTTGGACTTGTTATATTTGAGTTATTTTAATAGAAAAAAATTATTCTAAATCCTATATTTTATTATAAAAAGAAAAAAATATATAAAAGGAAAAAAATGTCAAACGAACCTTCACTTCAGGACTTTTCCTTGGGAAATTTGAAAGGGTACCTTAATGAATAAATTGATCAATTTTCTTTGATTGTCACACTCAACCATCAACGTTGATTGATAACTCATACTCAAATTGTTGATCTTGTCTTGGTCTTATTACAATTCATACTCAAGAACTGGTCTGACAATTCTTTGCACATCATTTTAGTTATAGTTAGGTCATCAATTTTCCAAGTCAAGCAACAAAAGAAGTTATTGATTTTGTCTTGGTCTTATCATAATTTACACTCAAGAACTAGCCTGACAATTCCTTGCACATGGTTTCGTTCTAGTTAGGTTGTCGATTTTCGAAGTTAGGCAAGAAACAAATTGTTGGTCTTGTCTTTGTCTTATTACAATTCATACTCAAGAACTAGCTTGACAATTCCTTGCACATTATTTTATTTCTAGCTAGGTTGTCGATTTTCCAAAAGCAACAAAACAAATTGTTGGTTTTGGTCTTATCACAATTCACACTTAAGGGCTACTCCAACGGTTCCTTGCACATTATTTTAGCTCTAGCTAGATCGTCACGTCAAGCAACAAAACAAATTGTTGCTCTTTGTCTTATCGCAATTCACGCTCAAGAAACTAACCTCACAATTCTTACACATTATTCCAAGTCAAGCAATAAAAGAAATTGTTGGCCTTGGTCTTATAAGAATTCACACTCAAGAAGACACAGAAGTTGGTCTCAAACTTCATCATATTATTAGAGTTAGAAAAGATCATTCATTGTTTACACATAATTCTAGAATTGATTTTGAGTAATTTGATAAATGATACAAATATTTTTATTGTACTTCTTCGACTGTTAATTGATGTTTTGTTTATACGATAAGTGAACCCTGTTAATTTTGGTCGAAAGTTAACATTGTTGTAATCTAATAATTTGAAAGCTCCAGACATTTAATTATATTGTTTAATTAATATTTGATTTACAATATTATACCTATACTCTTTGAGCAACAAGAAGAATGGTTGTTTGATATTTTTTGTTAATCATGCACATGATAGTAGAAATTGCTATGAGCTTAAGGGTGTTTTATAATGAAGCTATATTGAATAGTTGATACCCATATGAAGAGACACCAGTAATACTTTTAGACAATATTTTTGAAGACTCACTAAATGCCATCCATTCCTAATATTTTTTAAGACAGAAATTACTAATTTTCCCAACGAATAATTATTATTTTTTCCATATAGAAAGTTTCTACTAGAAATTTCATCCATAATTTAGCATAAAAATGAAGTATCACTTCTCAAATAAACTTGATTGAAAGAAATAAGCTAGTAAATAAAACAATATGTTTGGCCGGTTTAAATTAGGTGAAATTTAATTCCATGTTACTCATTTAGCCATACATAATTTTCAAAAGTTACCTGCACAGGAACATGCTCATTATCAGAAAAATGAAAATGTGGTTCCTGCTTGAAAAAAGAGAATTTATCTTGTGGAAATAATGAACAATGGGGAATTATGTACCTGCTTCACAACTTTTTTTCATAAAATTCTTATCTTCAATCTTTCATTAATTAGTAAGTTTCGTTATTGATGATAATTCATATCGAAATATTTTATTTTCATGCTTTGAAATGATGGAAAAAATACTATTTCGCACTTTTTAATAATTTATTTTTTAAAAATATG